TATTCTATTAATTATTAAACATTTTCCTAAGTATACAGCCTTAATCTTTGTGTCAAATATAGATGTTGCGATTGTAATTGTGAGTGCAAATCATTGAGATTTATAAAAATTGTTAACCGTATAAACAGTAAAACGCATGTAATTTTCGTTAAACTCAATTTTCTTAAACTGCAGTACATTCTTTTTTGCTAAACATATTTCTGCAGGTGAGTGATAATTGAAATGGTAAATATTAAGATTTTTTGTGTATATTATTTCTTCTGTATTTACCGTATGAATTTGTATTGGACATAACTGTCTGTTCCCATATTTAAAAAAAATCTTTATGAACATCTTATATTTAAAATTAAATTGAATAAATACTCACCTGAGCGTCTAAAAAATACGATTTAAAATCCCAGGAAAGCTCACTGACCGATGCTTCATGTTTTTCGCCTGTGAGGTTCGAGGTTTTAGTCCAAATCAACTCATCAATAATTTCATTGCGGCAGTATGAATCGTCCCAGTATCAAATTTGCATTTAAGATACTGTAACTTAATATTTTGACTGTTTTTTTTTTAATACATCCAACAGTCAACATTGAATGCGTGAATCATGTGCTGGCAATTGCGAACAGCACCTATTGTTATTTATATTAGCATAACACGACCTGAACAACCAGTAGATAAGCATTTAAAATTATTTTGCAGTTATCAATCCGGCAAACGACGATTCCACATCCCACGTCATTTTCGATGAATATATTTATTGACGTCAATACACCACGGTTCGAAATCAATCTAAAACGCAATGCGGTGTGTCGTGCCGCTGTTCGTTTTGGGGCGTTGTATGAATAATTAGCAATTCACAGCAAGCCAGCGCACGCGGAAAATGGAAAAGCGAAGATTCGGTTCGATAAATGTGTGTTGGCACTGTTTACTCGACCACTTAACTCGCACTTTGCGACGTGGCCAGCGCGCCGATCAAATGCGCGTTGAAACATTGGTTTCACGTGCGACAATAATATGCAAAGTGTAACGCAACGAACGCGGTAATATAGTGTGAATGGAGTCGGCTGCATAAATGTGTACACCGCGATGCGAAACGACCTGTAACGAGGTTAATATTTTAATAGGATGCCAGACGAAATCAATATGCACGTTAGGCCAAGCTGTATATTATGTACTCGCACCTATATACACTTAGTAATAGTGAAAAAGGGAAACATTGGTGACAATGACGTGGATACCTACGTCATTCATATTCAGTGGGTACACAAATAAGAAAAACAAGGCATAAACTCATGCAGTTTATAAAACAAAGGTGTAGCCGGGTATTGGGCTTGAATTGCACTCCAATGAACAGATTAAGTAATTGCAGATATGAATGTTATCAAATAATGACGTTATGTTGGAGTAGTTATGGAGTCGTGTAAAAATGAATCATATCTAGGAACGACGCATACAGCATAGTGTACGAAATTCTTGCGAGTGACAGCTATGCAAATATGAACAAATATATAATTAATGATTTTATAATGACATATTTCATCACAAACAACACAATAACATTTGTCGTCACTCAAAGTTCATCAGAGTTGTGTATTCATAGAGAAATGCTGCGGAATAATGTAAAAAAAGCATACCAATTTAAAATTAGTATGTGAAAATTTATTTCACCTTAAGGTTTGTGATACCCGACCTTCAAAATTGTTAGATAAATATCGAAAATGTTAATACTTTGTATATTTTTTAATACATTATAGATTATATTAATATATCTCACTTAAATGTAACAAATGAGTTTATTTTCCGAGCATGCAAATATGAAAACAACATTATATGTATTGATAAATAAGCTTTGTATAACAATGTAATTAAAGCACACGTACATGCTAAATAGACAAGCATAAAAGACAAGATAAAATTTACTGCACCATAACAAAAATATATTAAATAATGATAACAGTAACACTAAATGCCCCAAAACAAACCAAGAAAATCAAAATATTGAGTTTTTTGTCTTTTATATTGCCTCTTTCAATTTCCCTATTGATGCATTATATTCTGATTGATGAATGAACATGGGTAATTTGTTTATTTTCGAAATCGATGTGCACAAATGTCGCAAATCAACATACGCCAGCAATTGATGTCGTAAACATGTAAACGCATGCACGTTCTTATAATTTGGCCGCCAATCAAGCTTTTATATTTAGTGACCACGAGCACCATTCGCCACCCGACGGATACGCGTTCGCTCGTCGATTGAATCAAACGACGGAACGGCGTCGGATGGCTGGCATTTTTCGTCGATTGCCAGCAAACGACGTGCGCAAAGTTAAGTTCAATGCTGTCGTCAATAACGTTTCAATGTTCAATGTTAAACAAATGAATGTAAACCAAATGGTGCGCGCGTACTAAAACCGGCATATCTAAAGCAGTCCTTTATTTACAACAGAGTTACCAGAGTTAAAAGTTAAAGAGCTTGTCAACATGTTTTTTTCCGTTGCGCCAGGTTTAAAAATGCCATACGCGAAGCATCCAGCTTTGCATTGTAAGTGAAAACAAGAATTATGTTAATTTGTCATGGATTTGCAAAGGACACATAACATTTACAAAGTTTTAAATAATCATACCCAAAACAATGGTACTTAATTGATTAAATTCTGTGCCTAATAAGAATTTTGAGGCAATTTATGAAGTGAATTTATATAAATTGTACACAGCATGATGAAATTATTGCCCAATTTAACATTAGGACCTTAATAAATAATTTTCAAAACAAGCAATGTGTGTGCTGCTATCACGACCGCGGCCTTCGCACAAAATTTATTCTAATTTGATTTCGCACAAGGCGCAGGCACAGACTATGTTTTAACGTAATTACACATGCTGAGTGTTTGTACTGCGAGCGCACGCTGGCGACACAAAAACATAATGTTAAAAATGAAAGTGTACAAACACAAAACGCACGCCATAAAAATATATTCTAGAATTTAATTAAAACAAATACAAATGTATGAAATGTAAAATTAACCTTACTAAATTTATGAAATAATTATTTTATTAATTACAATAGGTATCCATAGGTATGGGGATATAAATTGCTCAATAACTTTTGATTAAAAGCTGTTATCAATTAATTGATTTCCGCAACGAGAATTAAACTCATTTTATTGCGTTTGAAGTAATTTACAACAAAAAACACAGTACCATTTCTACGACACGTACGAATGTCGCAAAATAAATACCACAGTATAAGTAATAATACTCGTAACTTAAAACATTTTAACATACTGGTGTTTAATTTTCATACCCAAATATCAGTTAACGGTAACTTATAAAACTGTTGTAACATTGGCATTGAATTTAGTGAATTTCAGTTTTTATAACTGATTTATTTAATGTTAAACCATTAGCAGAGTTAAATTCAAGCCTAATGCCTTCAAAATCATCAAATATCCGCCATTACCATGATATTAGCCAAGTAAAACTAATATTTAACCTCATGAATCAGTATAAATGCAAAACATAAACAAACAATCGATTAGACAGCTGCAAGGCGAAAGGACGTGACGACATACATCCGCTCAATGTAATTTATAACACCACGAAGCAAATTATTTGAAATCAAATATTTTGACATTTCGTATTATGCCACTTCAAATATAAAAGAACATCATTTCTTTAGCGCGACTTTGAATGGAGGAACGCAAATATCATTGCCACTATGTTTTTAATAACATCAACCGTCGTCTTTTGGCAATTCCATGATTCCATCAACCATTATCAAATCAAGGATTTGTGCAGTGTCATAATTTCTTCAGTATTGTCATTCTCATTGAAACAATGTTCAGTGAGCTCTTAGATCAACTGCACTACATAAAATTTCTCACCTTTTAATACTTTTTTTTACTTTTTCTTAAAATCAAAAAATTCTAAAATAGTGTAGGTACTGGAAAGTATACTTCGTGGCGGAAACAATACCAGATTTATCACGGGCAATACGTGCAAGTTTCCGACTGAATGGATTCGTTTACAATTTCAAGTAGAATGCGTCGTTATGTCATTCAGCTCGTTGGTATGAATCATTATAATTATTAATACAATACTTGATGGGACAATCATTTTCATCCATAATAGAGTATGAATAGTGCGAGAATTTACATTTTGCGCAAACAGAACTCGATCAAATATACTACGATGAATTTTTACAATAGTGTCAAGTGCATATACGATGATTCACTTGAGTTTGAAAAGAAAATTTGAGGAAGTTAGGAAAATCGCAATAAATACGCATAAAACTAATCAACTAACCATATGCAACGTAAGTTCAGCTCAAAATATTCGGACCTTTGCTTTAATTGATGTTAATTACAAAATCAAATATCTTAACTTTTGTAATACTTATGTAAATGTGTCAACCACATGTGACAATTTTGTCTCTTCTTCTAAAAATAGATTTTACTTATCCTATAAGTTGTTATGAATCACACGAAAATTCCAAGACATTACTTATCATTATATAAACCACTGAATATGATCACAGGATTTCCTGACTCATTGCTAACTCAAACCCAAACCCTGCGAGATATTTGAGAGATGTGAACGAGATACACCTGTTAGGTTTGTTTGGAGCATGGTGTGTGATCACATGACCCTTTCCGAAGTCGCGGTTGAAGGCACTCCACGCAGGAACAGGTAGGATGTTATTCAGTATTCACCGTGAAAAAATGTATAAAATATGTGTGTTTTGTCTGTGCCCAGTCGCGATATCAGACAACGCAAGCATAATCAGACATAAAACACACAAAGCAACACGTAGTTGTTTGCATCAACGATTTTTGTTTTTCCGCATGATTGTTAATGTTGCAACTCATTTCGATGCCTCATGATAGAGATAGTTCACTATGTCGATTGCGCAAAAAGTTGTTTTGCAAGTGAAAGGTCTCAAACGTGATTGTTTCGTAGAAACGAGCGAATAGTGGAGTGTGTTTAGTGTTGTGCGAGCAACTCACATTCAAGATGCTTCTTCTTCGGTGGTATCAGCTCCTCGGTGGTCGCTTTACATACGGACTTGGCTAATCCTTGACCAGCGATGCTATGCTTCGCCGCTAAGAGCCTGTCGTTGATCGTCTGACCGGCGAGTCGACCAGCCATCTTCACCGGAAAAAATGTATTCGCTTATTCGTCAACAGGCACCAGAGAAACACGAACTCGCGCGGCGTGTGGAGAGCGCACTTGTCTCGATTCGGACGCACCAAAAATTCAAGCGAGACGAAGCACTGCGACCGAGCACCGACCACTGACCATCCGGTGGCGGTGTATGCAGCACCGCGGGGCAAAGGCGAAAGGAAAATGCACCGTGACGTGCCGCGACACAGCAACGAAACAAAAACGCCCGTCAACACAACCACCACAACGCGACTGCACTGAACTGACAGCGACAAGGCGGCCGCGCGCGTACGCCGCTACACCGATGGCACCGACGGGCGGAATAGAACGATCCCACTGCCACCGCACTACCGCGATCGCGCGGTTGCGTCAAGCTTGGTTGCTGGTTGTGTATGAAACGAGAAATCGGCGCAAACCGGCGCGCCGCGAGTCGCTAGGAATGATGCAAACGATGCAAACCCAGAACGCGAGAACGAATTTCAAAAAATCGTTTAATTTATGGCAAGATTCTTGTTAAGTTAACTTACTATGAATTTTATTCTACTGGCGAATAATTTAGACACTGGATTCTTGTGTCAAATTTTGAGTTGTATCAAATACAAAGTACTTTAAAGAAGACAAAAGTAATTATGCATACTTTATTACATACAGATAGCAGCACAGTTTAGTTAGTATACTCAGGAGTAAATTTATAATTGTTTTCTTACAAAAATTCTTACAAATTAAAATATGTACCATTGGTACCACTATGTAATATTGTTAAACATTGTTAAAATGGTTAAAACTTAAAAAAGATTGGCACATAAACCGATTCAAACCTGACAAGTTATCCTTGTCACCAGTCGAAAATTATTTATTCATCAAAATGTTTGTCATTCATTAAATTTCAAGTAATTTAACATTAAAACAGCAAAATTAAAAGTAAAATGACTATTTCGAATTATATCACGCTTTGAATCTACAACAAGTAGGAATCTGCAAGCGAGGAAAGTAGTACGATGAGTGTTCTGCAGTATACAATCGCTTTTCATCAAAGTTTTTATCGTCAAGTTCTTTCCATGCGAACCATGATTTAATAACTCACCTCTCACGAATCATGGCGAGCAAATTGAAACTCTATATTGGGCGTAGGGTAAGTAATTGTTAATGTTGTACATAAATTTGCGAGAAAACCGTATAGCGAGAAATAACCTCACACTTATTTAGAAATGTTTCTAAGTGGTGTCACAACTTAATCACTGGTGGCAGCACATGCACAAATTTGAATATTGTATTAAAAACTCAAAAATCTTATTAGATTTTTTTATGCATTTCAGATATTAGATTGTATTGGAAAGAACATTACAGTGACATCGTTACAATTAAAGCCAATTATTCAAGTTCAAAGTACAAATTCCAATGGAGTTGTTGAGTTGGCAGTTCCTCTTGATCAACTGGAAGGAATGATTGGTCCTGCAAATTTACAACTTCTCAATTCTAATATAAAACCTGATGATATTATAGAGAACATTGCGACTATTAGCGATCAACGAAAAGGACACAAGAACATTACTTTTAAAATAAATAAAAACATATTTGTCAAAGAGATCGTAGAGCATTGCATTCAGCCCGATGTAGCAACAGAGAAGCAAAATATTGTTGTGGAATTTAGTTCGCCGAACGTGGCTAAACCCTTCCATGTGGGGCATTTAAGATCAACTATTATCGGCAATTTTATTGCTAATCTATATGAACATAGAAAACATAATGTAGTAAGGCTTAATTATTTAGGTGTGTGATGTGGTATTGAAACGAGTTCATTTTCATTCGAAAATATTAATTTCAGGCGATTGGGGCACACAATTTGGTTTTATAAAAGTAGGAATAGAAGAATTGAAGCATAAGGTTGAAGAAATTCAGAAGAATCCGCTCAAAATATTATTTGAATCCTATGTATTTGCTAATAAACTAGGTGAAAAGGATCCCAGTATTTTGGAGCGCGCAAAGCAAGCGTTCAATAGATTAGAAGCAGGCTCAAAGGAGGACCTTGATAACTGGAAGATGTGCATGCAATATACAACCAAAGAATTAGATTCAATGTATCAAAGACTTGGTGTCAAATTTAATGAGTATAACTATGAATCAATGTATAGTGCAGCAGACATTAAGAACGTGCTGAAAGAACTTGATGCGAATAAAATTTTGATGACGCTTGAGGATGGAAAACGAGTGGCGAACGTTAATGATAGAAAAGTCTCAGTTGTAAAATCGGATGGCTCGACTTTGTATTTAACAAGAGATATTGCTGCAGCCATTGATAGACAAAAGAAGTTCTCATTTGATAAAATGATCTACGTGGTAGACAATGCACAAACGGACCATTTTGTGGCGTTGAAGGGTATTCTTGGGCAAATGAAGATAAATTGGGTAGACAGGTTACAGCATGTTAAGTTTGGAAGAATAAGGGGAATGAGCACGCGGAAGGGAAATGTAGTATTTCTCAAAGATATTTTAGATGAAACTCGAGAGTTGACGATGCAAAGACAGCTAAAATCACTGAGTAAGTTTATAAAAATGTGTGTTAATAGAAACTCCTGTCATATTTGTATTTATAGCAACAAAAGCATCCATAACGGACTCTAAAACATCGGACATTTTGGGAATTTCATGTGTTATCATCAACGATTTAAAGCAACGCCGACAGAGAGACTACGACTTTTCCTGGGATAAAGCACTGCAGGTTCAAGGAGACAGTGGCATAAAACTGCAATACACTCATTGCAGACTGTGCAATTTAGAGAAAAACTGTGGCATTTTACCAGCTAGCATTTGCAAACCGGAAATGATTCTGGAACCAGAGGCATTGCGGTTAATCGGCCATCTTGCTAAATATCCTGATATTCTTTCGCAAACGGAAGAACAACTTGAAGCATGTATACTAGTAACTTATTTATTTCACTTATGGTGAGGTTCTTAATTTGCGCTTATTTGGCAACTGTGTCTAATATTGAATATAATCTTTTTGCAGCAATCATATCAGTAAAGCCCTAAAAGTACTCAACGTAAAAGATCAAGAGGCTGTACTGGCATCACAAAGGCTGTTGTTGTTTAAGAACGCCCGAGAAGTACTGCGACAAGGTATGACCATTTTGGGGCTTCAGCCATTGAAGGAAATGTAGTGAACGAAAATAAAATAGTCATTACTTTAAGTCTTTACTTTTGTTCTATGATTTAACGCTTCTTCCATGTGTACTTCTTACGGGCACCTGCTTGGCCTGGCTTCTTCCTTTCTCTTATTCTGTAGTCACGAGTTAACAAGCCAGCTAAAATATTATCAATGATTAGCACATCCTGAAATCAGTTCATGGTGAACGACCTACCTATACGCATTTTTTCTACCATTTCTTCATCTACAAAACTCCTCAATCCCATTGCAATGCCCCAACGTATGGCTCCCGCTTGGCCTGCAGGACCTCCACCTTCCACGTGAGCCTCCACATTCATTTTGGTGTGCAAATTTGTGAATATTAATGGAAACAAAAGCTGCAAAGAGTTGATTAATTTTCAGCGATAATTTTCAACTACAAAACAATCTTAGACGTCATAGGTGTGAGATGTTCATAATTAATGTTTTAATTGACATATGACTTGGACCCATGCGTAAATTAAAGTGGTTTTATTGCGTAATTGTAGGTTTATTTCTTTATTAGTGCATAAGATAACTTGTTATCACTTAAAAACGATGCTAAGGTTGTATTTACAGGTATCAAATATCTAAAGGCACTGACATAGAAACTAGTCATATAACTAATAAATTAATATCACAAATAGAAAATTCATATAGAAAGGCACACTGCATAAAAATTTTCTCTCAACAATGATTTACGAAATATGTGTTCGCATCCTTTTAAAAAACTTTGCTCATTTGTTTATTGCGTTGTTGCGCTTGTATTGCCGTGTACATTTTAATATACCTAGTCATCCAATAAGGCACAGTTTGCAAAATGCACACATACACATGTTGCCAAAAGTATATCGTCAGCAATTTGCAGTGTGCGACGCGCCCTTTTGTGCGAGCACGTTCAGCAATTGTTCAATAACTTGTTGATTGTTATTTAAGGCAATCTTCAACTCTCTGATCTCGCCACTTAAATGTTCAATTTGCTCGGTGCTTTTCTCGACTTTGCTCTGCAACGTCGTCATACTACAGCCGTAATCAGCGAGTATTTCGCTGTTCTGATCGTTGATGATGTTATTGTTCATCCACTTTTTGTGCGCCGTGTACGTCGAAATATGCGTGCCCTGCGACGAGATCGTGTGGCCGTAATGTTTGCGCTGCTTAGCGATCTCGTGGGCCGCCTTAAGAATGTCCCGCGGAAGACGCTTTTCCCTTGGGTTGAGCGGCTTCACATTCAACACCACGCGGTACGCCTTCGGCGAGACAAGCGCCGTCCAATGTAGCAAATTGAGTAGATATGCCGGCAGATAGCCGTTGAACAACGCCAACTCCATATACGAAATAAGCTTCGTCTGACGCACCAACTTGGATAGTCCGGCGGTTTTTTGCAGCCCCTGAATGTCGTGTACAGCGATACCAACGAGCAAATTCATCAGTATGACGGTAACGAATAGTAAAAATAAGACAAACGTCACTTGGGCGCTAATTTCGAGCAGGAATGGCGGGTCCTCAGGGTCGTCGTCGACCAATAAATCTAAGCTCAACTCGCCCGTCATCATTACCAACACTGTTATTAGACCTATAAACGGATTAGCAAATGTGGACGAATCCGGAAAGATGACGCAAAAACTGATTGTAAAGCCTATGAGTAAACATGAGTATGCGAGCAATAATTTTGCAAATTCCCCTTGCACGCGGGTATACATTGCCACGTAAGAGCCGAATACAGGCAGCTGACCTATCATCAACATCAAATTGGTCCAACCGAATAATACAGCAAATGCTCCCACGTGATTTTGCCACGTGTATGTGCGTCCGGTGTAAATAAAAGAAATAATAAATACACTAGCGATGACAGACCATTCAATAATATTTTCAGGGTGCGATAAATATTGTTTCACAGTGGGATAACCAGCTATTCCATAAACTTTCCTCAAAATTTCGCAGCATGTTATCCCAACCAAAACAAACCATTGCATTTCGATGACAAACGGGTTATTCCTCAGCATATGTCCCATCATGGACTTTTTCTCGCATAGTTCGATAACATTCTGCGGCTGACTTTCATTCATGTTCTTGCCGTGATTGTAACAGTTGTGTGCCAGTGCGGTGAGGACGTATAATGATAAACTTAAAATAAATATCAAACAAAACAGCATGCGCGCGATGTAGAACTTCCTAATGCGCTCCCATTTCAAATAGAGAAACGCCGAACACAGCGGATGCAATAACACTTCCTTCTGCCCTTCATCGACGAATGTGTTTAAAAAGCTGATTTCTCGCGGGTGACAGTGTTGTAGAATGCTTCGAAAATCAAGGCGCAATTCCACCTCTCTGTTGGACGACTCCGGATGGTGGTGCAAACTGATCGCCGAGTCCAACTTCTGTGTGACCATTGCCAAGGATGCCGGCGTCTTCCTGGTGATTATGCCCAGGGCCGTCATACCAAACTTGGATTTTGCTGTTACATCAGCTCCGTGGTAAATAAGCACTTCGACGCATTGGCTGAGTTCGTTTAGCGCAGCGATATGCAACGGAGTGTAACCGTACTGATCCTTAAAATTCACGTCGGCGCCCCAATTAATTAAGATTTCTATGATATCGTATGAACGCGTCGCCTTGCCTACAGCGGCGTGCAGTGGTGTGCGTTGATCAACGTCTGGTATATTCGGGTCTGCATTACCTTTGCGCATTAATATTTCGACGCAATCAAAAGCCTGTGCGCGTGCTGCCAAATGCAATGGAGTCTGGCCACGATGGTTGCGCACATTAGCATCAGCCCTTTTTTCCATAAGTATCTCAATACATTCTACGTATCCGCCCTCGGCGGCTAAGTGCAACGCTGTCAGATCCTTTTCTTTCGTTTTCGCATTCACATTGTTCCCCTTCGCTTCAAGCATAATTTTTAAGCACTGCGAATGCCCAAGGTCGCCAGCAAGATGAATCGGTGACATTCCCGAATATTCCACTTGACCCACATCAGCGCCTTGCGCGGTGAACAAACGGACGCACGCGATCGCATTCGCGCGGACCGCGCAATGCAGGACGCTTTCGTGACAATTGCTCGGATTATTCGTGAGTGCGCTCACCTTTGCGCCGCTGCTGAGCAAAATCATCGCCGTCTCAGGACTGTCGCCAAATGCGGCGCAGTGAAGCGGCGAATAAGCCTTGTAGGTAGCATTCACATCAGCGCCCTTCTGAATCAAATATTGAGTACCCGCAATATCACCACTAAACGCTGCCAAATGCAACGCACTCAAACCTTGATTAGGCTCGTAATAATTCAATTGCGCTCCCATATTTAAAAATCCTTCCAGGATGTCCCACCTTTTCATAAAAGCAGCCCAAAGGAAAGCAATGTTGATTTCCACTTTGGTGGCGCCAGCAAATGCATCATCTAGCGTGTCCTGTTGAATCTTTTTGCATTCAATGTCGTCAAATAGTTGATGTCTCCCCGAAGAACTTTTCAGATGTTCCAACAAGTTCATCTTTATGGTATCGTGACATATCTGCACAGTGAGCTCGTGGTTCATCGAAAATTCCTCGAAGCTTTCGTATATATTGGGGGTGTGATCCGCGGGAGGCGACGGCCCACATTGCATATACTCGAAATCGTCAGAGGGATAATCCTCCTCCAGCATTTCCTCCGGATCACCGCGGTTACGCTTCCATTTAATAAGCATTGATGCCGTGGGTGTTTTGTACAACGGAAAGGACTCTACCTCAGCGTTGACACTCACCGATCGACCCAATTTCTTATTGGAATGATTCGAATCTTGGAAGCCAAGGTTGTCCATTTTTAATGTTGAACTGTCTTTCGATGCAGACACCATTTATGATGTATCCTGCAAATAATTTTTTCAAAACCGTAAAATAATTTGTATTTTATTTGGTTTAAACTTTTACAACAACGACTTATCTATAAATAGCAGATTGTATTGACATAATTTGCCAAAATAACTTAGTTCAAGAAACACTTCTTTATGGAAACCCTACTTAAGTCGCAGTTTCTATAATTCACGAGTCCAATTATCGTCGCGTGCCACTTCTCATTTTTGAACTTAATGTAAAGACCTACTTTTCAACGGCTTATCATTGGCACAAATGATCTTTTTATGCCTCAATTATTTCACGTAAGTTTATAAATTTGGCTCAATACAATTCTACAGTAGACTAGTCCTAGAGTAGTAGTTTATCTTTATAAAATATACATTTTCGGTCATAACCCGAAACATTCGCCTACAGGCTTCCAGTAAATGACACATAGCTCAACAAGTTAACGACCTCCAGCCTAGAACAGTTTAAGATGACTGTTCATGCATAAACATAACTTAAAAACTTTTTGTGGTACCGGAAGAAATCGCAAAATGTCTTTAACTTTACACGTTTAAGTTGACTCACGGCGTAACAATTTTAATTCTTTGTTTCGCAGTCGTTTCTTCCTTACCATTTAACTTGCTGTGCTACAGGTTGGTTTCTACGCAGTATTCTTTACAAGTAAATAACGTTACATCCTAATAATTAACCGAATGAAATTGTAGACTGTTGTAGACCATTCATGTTTATAAAAATAAATTGACATTGACTCGTGCTCATAGAATTGATAAATCAATCCCGGAAATGGCGTTGAAAATATAGAGGCCCTGAATGCTGATTACAGCAACATTTTATAGGTGTGCAAAGCGCCATTGTATAATCAAATCGTTAATGCTTAATTATGGGAAATTCAAAGCACTCATTCATCTTCAACTAAACGGTCACTCGTGTTATCCAATCAATGAATCATTTACCTGAGTTGCGCAATAAATCCGCGATCAGTTCCTGTTGAACGTACTTTTAACGCAAGCAAAATACTCGCGGTCGTAGTCCGAAAATATTCGCTGAATAGAAAGACATTTGGCACATCGCGCATATCGACTCAATTGCTCTTTTCAGTACTGCGGCTCAAGAATAATAACTAAATTAAATTAATCGAGTGTTAGTAGCTCAGCAGGACAATTGCGAACGCGATGTGCACGTTATATATCGCAAAACATTCCTCTCTTTCAACTTGCGATATTCTCGGCTCAACCTTGGAGCGCACTTCGAATGTCTGTGAGATGAGACACATACTGCATAATGCAATTATTTACTCTTGGGAAATATATAATATCTTTCTCATTCATTAATTCATGTTTTTCAACCGTAATCAAATTACCGTGTTGTTTTCTTGAAAGCCTAAATTATAGAGTGTCAAAGTTGAAGTGATTACCGAGAAGTGTCCGTGTTGTTGATAAGAGGCGCGTTGCAATGCGTCTAAGTGTAGCGGGTACCGGACATAAAAATAAATTCACATTTTGATTTCGTGACCTTCCATCTCAATTACGGATGCTGAAAGTAATACGAACTTGCGCATATTTACAATCTATCTAATGGGCCCTTGGCATCATCAAGCATTTCTTCGATAAGTCATTGTTGCATTGTAAAATTTCAAAACCAAATAAAACATATAAACATTGGAATTTAAGGTACCGTTAATTTCATTGTTTAAAAATGTTAAAATGCAGTATTACTCACCATTTAATTAAACGTAGCACTATCACTTTCACATGCGGAAACGACAACCACCTCCGTATCTTTGGCACTCGACCGGCGAAGTCGCAATTAAAAGTTTCGAACGCATCATTTTCCAGTTACGTTGACGGTGTATCTGAATCTTTATCAGTTTTATTCGAGTCCAAGAAACTAGTCCGGGCAGCCTTTTGTATGTTATTGTTGATCCAATTGCGGCGAATGCGTCACACTTGATTTTAATTTAAAACGGTTGTTTGTTATACTCGACTTATTTTTTTATGTTTATTGCTTCTGTATGCAAAAGTCGTACTCCAAACGCAACTTATTAAATATGTGTTTCCAAAACTGCGGTATGTAGCAACACACTAAAACCAGACGATCCAGGGTTTCATCGCAAAGTTTCGCTCCACTATGAAATTATAATAACCGTTATCTCGATCCGGGTGCGAGTAAACTTCGGCAATTCGAATGCGACTTTGTCGTCGGTCCAGGCGATCAAAGTGCAAATTGTTAAATTAGAATTTAGTGCACACCGTCGGACACGTTCACGTGTAGCATGTGTGCGCGCGAGTATTCCCAGAGGCAGACAAACGCCACCACGAGAAACGACTTTGACTACTCCGACGGTGATTTCGACGTTCTGTTCGTGTGAATGGTGCACGGAGTTTAATATCGCAACTGTGGTGCGTTTTTTTTTTCGCACTCCTCAAAGGTGGGGAGGGATTTTTATTTGATTATTCCGTTGTTTCGCTAAGTGCCGAAACAACAATTCACAAATTGCACCTTGACTACTCTTGTAAAGTTACAAAATTATGAAAACAAGCAATTTGTCCTGACAATTTTGAATTTAAAATTTATAAAAGATTGACACTTCTAAGAAATGTATCAGAGCAAAATTTCCTCTGTAAATAAAATGTAATAACCACACTGGATTAACTTAATGAGATTAACCATAATTATATCATCCTTGAAGCAATAAACCGGCTAATCTTAAATACACTAGGAATATGTATTTGATGTGCATCAATTTGTGACGCTTAAACCGGCCACTAATTAAACTTTTCTGAACTTTTAGTTCCAGAAATAAGTGATTGAAATGCAAAAACATACAAATAAATGTATATCAACAACGAATTTAAAGTCATTGTAAGTTGATAAAATCGCCGACCTTAAATAATTTATTATGAATACGGCACTGCTAAACTTTATTAACAATGACTCTCGGTAATTACCAGCCGTCTATCTGGCAATCAAGCAACAATAAAAGTAATGAATCTTGGTGTACAAAGTGTTTCGATGGTAAACCAAACATTGACGCGCGGAATTATTAATGTGAGAGACTGTTACTAATTATAATGTATACAAATTTAACACAGGAGACGGCCGTCATTAATTAATGTATTACACAATCTCACACCGTGACTCTCCATAGAAATGAAATACGAAAATATCACTCACCTGTTCTCTGCAGTAAGTATCTGCAAAATATCTTATATCCTGACCATTGATTGTGATTATACCAGTTCCAGGACTCCTAACGGTAACGTGTCCACGTGCTTTCTTCCGCAAACACTCTGTAACAAGGAAAAACTTAATAAATCAGAAACCAAAAGAATAAAATAAATAATTATTCACCATAAGTTGTAATAAATGCACTTCCATCAGCTTCATATTGTGGTTTTGGAATTACAGTGCTCTTGGCCTGACTCATTAGGGGTTTTCGGTAGTTCTCAATAAATTCAGCAATTCGATACGAATACGGCAAAGCAAACAAGCGTTCCATTGTCACTAGAAATGATTTGTATTGTTTTTCTGTTATTGTTTCAACTAATAACTTCTCCAGTGACAGTTTATCAATCCATTGATAACCAGATTCCTGCCTGTGGTAACAACTTCATTATATAAACAATAACTTCTTATATATCTTACTAACATTTGTAAATTGACATCTGGCTTATTATTTTTCCTTAGCATAGCATCCTCAAACCTATTTAATTCAATCATGTGATGAACTGCATCCTATTAGGAAGAAACACATTTAATCACTGTTTGTAAAATGCATATGTCAGCTTACATAAAGTAGTTGATAGAAATTGGGTGTTGATGTATAGAACAAGAAGTGATGTGGCCTGCCCATTTCATCAAATTCAGCAGCCTTTCTTGCAGGGAATATCTCCTCTGGAGGCTTCATGATGGGTCTTGCTCTCTTCTCAAACAATCCAGAAGGAAATAGATATGCAATGGCTTCCTATAATGTCAAAAACATTATAAACAATCATTGATGTTATGATAACAATTCACAATTATAAACATACATCTACATCTTCCTGGGTAAAAGTTTCAGGATTTTCACCCATCATATTGGCTAAATGTCGTTTACCAATTTGAAACTTTGACTGTTGATCCTTCATAAATTCATCATGTGCTCTAGCACGTTCCAAGTATGACTTCATTGCTTTAGAAATTTCCTTCTTCTCTGCCTCATCTTGAGTTGCGACTTGACTTGAGCTGGCAGGCAATGAATAGCATTTATTCTAAAAATTTTAATAACATGTAATTTTAACATAAACAAAACTATACTTGTACATACCGAGCTTGTAAGCTGCCGATTTAATTTAAAATAATTTCGGCCTAGTTGCCGTAACATTTTAAATAATTGTCTTGTGTCTAAAGAGCTACAAAATGAAATAAATATAACCTAGTACACAGCACATGGAATAGTTTATTGAGTAGAAAGTAGATGGCGCAAAGTGTACCAAAATAAAAATAAAACCTGATAAAATTTAATAAAATGCATACATCTAATTGATTTTTTACATATATTAACATAAAATAACTACATATAGCAATTATTATGTATAACAATATATTAAGAAAATCAGAAACTATGTACCTTTCATAACTTTTGTTAGTGTTGTTTGTCATTTTAAATAAACTCAAAACTTTTCCAACGCTATTTAAATTTTCTCATTTGTTTGAAATAAAGATATTAGAATTTTCAATAAATAACCGTAGATCATAAACTTTATTTTCCACTGGCACACATATTTATACTTTGCAGCCATGTGATAAAAGCGTCTCGAGCACGTGGCGGTGACATTTTCGCCTAGGGTTTTCCCATTTTTCCAATATTATCATAAATTGCAAGTAGTTACAGTGTCGCTGGGATAAGCAGCACTTGCAGGCTTTCTTAGTACGTAAAGTGCATAAACTAACACCTGAAGTAATCGATTTACGTATACGACAGTAGCACCAAAGCGCCGCTGTGCGCCGACGACGCTGACGTCTTAGTCGGTCTGGTCTACATGAATGTGACCTGCATGAACGCCTTTATGATCACACCTTCCACCAACTTCCTATATCTACCTAATGCTGTTGTCCTTTACGACACCCGCATGTGTATAAAAATATATCGCTATTTTTTCGGTTTGTCATCATGCACACCGCAAAATGTACACTTTTTACTGAGATGTAGACATTAATACAGAGTGAAATAGTTTATGGTCGTTATACTTCTTTAACAAGGTAGACAAAGTGGTAAACTTTTTGTTAACAACTTGGAAAATCATGAATCAAACGAACAATGCACTTGAAAATGCTCAAGTGTAGTTTAATTGTAGTTTATATAAGAATCGAAGTAAAAAAATGTGTTTTATTATATTTTGAGCGTAATTTCAGCGAAAGTTATTTAAAAATTAGTTAGTAAAATATTTTTGAGTTGAAATATTTGATTGATGATAACGGTTTGATATCATGTATCAATTTAACTTTAAAAATTGTAAATTGATGTGGGCCTAAAAAAATCCCTTGCACTTTCTCCCAAGTATGATAAAACTGAAGGCAAGACCTCTCAAGACATAATTTATCCATCGCCACCGATGGAAAATCAGTAGAAAGTTGCGTCCGAGCGGCACTTTTTCGAAACATAGCCCACACAGCCGCCCCCTAACAACCGTCGGCGCCCGATACCCTACGATGGTGAAGAACGACGTGCCTCGTTCGGCCGTGGATCGCGGAGGGCGAGAGCGTGGCGCGCGGCGCGGCGTCGCGATGCCGGCCTCCTAATCGATATAACAGTCTGACACAAGTCTCAACATACATGCACGCGTCTGGGGCTGGTTGTGTGCCGTACGTGTGCACCGCACGCATCCACGACGCCGCGATCTACGCTGCCTCCAGTCGATATATTAATGTGAAGCGCGGCGCAAAACTACGGCGACAATCAACGACGCAATTACGCCGCCGCCCGGCATGTTTTATTTTCATTCGGTTTCGTTTGTGCTTTGATTTCTCTGCGTGTGAATGCGAGCGCCCCACCGTGTGCCACATTCGCGAGGATTCACCAGGACGACAGCACTCGTCCATTCACTCGCATAACCTTAAAATAAAAACAATCGTGTCAGTGAACCCTTAATATCTGATGTGCAGGGTGTAAGGTGTGAATATACGACCACCCAAGATTCTACACCTACAACTGTCAAATTGCATTACAATGTAAGAATACACCCTAAATTAATTAAAAGACATGATTCATCGAAGAGTGTAAAAGAAAGGAAACTGTAAGACTATAATCAGTGTAAAAGTGTATTTATTGTGTGCTGAGTTTACAACTAAACATTGTATTTGTAATGTGTTACACAAATGTCAAGTGGCACGTTGCTAAAGGTCTCGGGCATCTCGGGCATCGCGCACGAAGGACGAATACTCTTGGGTTAGCTCCTTTCGCCGCAGCAAAGGGTTAACAGCAGCGAATTAAGGCCGATTTTAACAACGCCTGAAGCACCTCTAAAAAGCCGAAAATCGTCTTCTTAATTACCGTGTCTGGCGTTATTGTTATAATTATTTCAACTTTATTCTAACTTTCATGAATTTAATGTTGAAAGTTTACCCTTTTTCGTTTTATTCGCGAGTGAACATTTCACGAAGAAGACTAGGCTGTTGGAGAAGTTCTGAACGGTATTCTTTTAAAAACTGGGTGATTTAACGTTTTATTTCTTAAAGTAGGATAGTAAATTGTTATTATCCTTTAAGATATAGATATAATTATACGAGTATACCGTGGAAAGGATTGGAACTAAATTTAATGGCAATAAATAAATGTTAAGCATTACTAGGTACTACATAATTCTATCTACAAAATTTAATATCCGTGAACTTAACGAAATTGTGACTGGAGGCTTGAACAAAATTGAACTTCGTCATTATTAAGGTAAGAAATTTAATATTTTTACATTAAAAATGTAGTATTTTGGTATTTAATGCGATTTACAAAGGCAAATGCAAAAATTTATTTGTTAATTTATAGTCTTGACAATGCGCCGGAAATAAGAATTAATTCTTAAATTTAACAAATAACATATTTATATAATATTTATAGTTTTATGATAATAACCTACTTTGCACATACTCAATACAAAAAAATATTTGAAATTATTTTAATAATAATTTATGTGAATATAACATTTAAAGATCCGTTAATTAAATTTAAATTAATTCTTCCATGCTTAGCAATTAATGATAAGCAAATTTGCTCATAAATAACAATTAGCAATTCGACACTAGAGAGCAACAGTTTGACACCGAATATTTTTTTTATTAGCCACGTGTTAAAATTATAGTTTGATAATTTGACAACTAATTAAAAACTATCAAATTATACCATGTAATCCGCTTATACGAGTATGGTTGCGATCTGATTTGATTTTAAATTATTCACGGCAAACATCATCAGTGATTATTTCACGATATAAATTTGAATTTATCGAAGTGACAAGTGAAGAAAACAGATCCTAAAAGAGTGTTGTTTTTATCAAAAATATATTTATTGTTGATTAATAATTAGTTTATAAATATGTATGTATTAAATTACTCTCAGAATCATTAATTAGTTAAATTTAGTAAATTAAAACTTTGAACTTACATTTTAGGAATGAGCCTAATTTTTTCCTAGCTTAATTAATTATTGCGTTTATTCAAATTTAAGCAAATTTGCAATTAATTAGAAGCTAAAACATGCTAAATATTTATTTTAATGGAATCGGTTCTCTTCAGAGATGGCATCAAACTTATTCTGTTATTATAATTACATTTTTAATTAAATTCTAATTTGTATCAGATTCAGCACGTTTTAATTTAAAATATTTCACTGATGTACAATGACTAGATATTTCCTATTAATTTAATATTTATTGATTCTATAGTGATTATTATTTGACCGGTACAATAATATCTTAAAAGTTGGTGTGTAAAATCATCTTAAATGGGGTTTATTTGAGTTTGAGGTTTCCTCGATGTAAACTAAATTTACTTTGAGGTGAGATATACAAAAATGCAAGACGTATTTTGATGAATATTAATTACGAAATCCAATATATATATATATATATATATCCATATTTTTGCTTTATAACTCACCCATTGTGTTGAAGCTTTTAAAATTGATTCATGTTTCGGGAAATTCTACTGAAAAGGCTGCATGATATCTGCAGAAAGCACAATAAGTTTTTACTTTATTTGGTAAAACGCCAAGGGGTGTATGAAGTCGCTGCCAAACACGACAAAAAAGCAAGGTCGTTTATTGTTAATGATAAAGTTGTGCCAAAACGGAAGCCTTGATATCAAACTAGATTCTGAGATAGTATGTTACATTAAAACAGAAATTTAAAATATAACATTTCTGATTTTGGTGGTAGTGGTAACATTAGATATTAAATTAAATATTAGGTATTGAAGGAATTATATATTATTGATACATTGTCCATTTCGTCTTTATTTTGCAAAGTGTAAAATATAAAGTGACATAACTTATATTTTCGTAACAGGGAATTTTTAATTACACTTTAAATCACTGATTTCCGGTCGACGCAAATAATTCTAAGCTCATGTAAGTAATTTCTAAAAATCTAAAATGTAACACTTTTCTGTTATCATCGTTATACAGAACTTTAAATACAGCTTTTTATAACATGCACTGTAGTTAATCTTTGAATGTAATGCTAACTTTTATAAAGAATTATTGTTTTGATGTAAGATCCGATGCGTGCTTGGTCGTTGACAGAAATACACATTTCATAACGAGTACAATACGAGTAGGTACATAACGTACACATATGCGGAACACATTAAGTAGTCGCACCGAGTAGAAGAGTTAGTTACTTGAGGAAGGGAAATAAGTAAATGACGATACGCATTTGTGCCATTTGAACAAGCATTAGTAATGTTATTGTGCTCTAATGTCACGTTGCTGTGTTTACAAGTAGTAAATCATTTGAATGTTTCCACAATATGTTAAGTTTAAGTGCGCACAGCTTGCTCTATGATTTTATAATAATTTTAATAGGGTAAAGATATCAATTTTTGAAGTTGGGAAATACTTAGAGGGGCAGAATCCTATTGTTGAGAATATCAATATCATTTCATTATAGTCGCGCCCAAAATACAGACGAAGGAAAGGTAGATAGGAAAAAGTTAAAGAGGGTTATGATGAAGAATACTCACATAACCCTCAAGGACTCCATGGCTGCGCCATACTTCCTATTTTATTAAAAATGCTGATCGTTTTTAGCGTGAGTTTAAAAATTAAAATGTAATTTTTTACCAACTAATCAAAATATTCGGCAATAATTTCTTATTCATTGTATACAATATTTATTTCCGCAAATTGTCTGTCATCATCAACTTTCGTCCTTTTTGCTCTTTTTCTTGTGGTTTCCATCTGGTTTCGTATTCTATATTCGCATTAAACTATATCTTCATGGTTAATTGCAGCTGTACACAGATTTTAGGTACAAATTATCATTAGGTTTCACAATATTCTTCGTTGATCACAAAAATACTGCGTACACTATACATACGTTTTTTTTTTCAATATTTTTACCGGCTCATACGTATTATGTAATGCTCAAACTATAGTTAGGACGTATGTATGAATTTGCTAACAAAAACAATATAATTACAAATTTAGTAATAACATTACAGCTTGCCAATATTGATCAAGTACTGTCAAGCGTGTCTTTGAAAAGGCTTGGCTCCTTAACTTCTCGATTGCAGTTGCTTTCTAATGTTGCAATTCATGTACCCCATGCTCATGGCGCTCGAACACAATGACTGATAAATAAATGCATTTGTTTCTAGACAACAAGCAACACGCAAATATAAATAAAATTAAATAAATAGCTTTATTGTTATGTCTGATTTTACTTTAATTGTTGCATATTAACATTGTTGTAGTGTATAGGAGCGTGTAAGAAAGGTTTAATATGCTTGGTAGAGGTGAATTTGCGAATATTACTGCATAGTATTAGTTGAGTTACATGTTCGTCATGTTGTAACAAACTCACTGCTCGAGCATTACGCAAAGATACAAGTTGCAAGGTCAGGCTATAAATCACCGGTTTGATCAGCCTTGTCGTTTATCGGAACTTATGCCTGGAAGCACTTAATTGTTCACGTTTGAAAATTAACGAAACATAATGAAAAGTACAAAGAGTTGCGCCGGTCAAGATAAACTCATCGAGGTAAAACTTCTAAGGCGGAATTTTTATATGTCAAGCATGACTGCACATTGTTATAAAGTATGAGAAGGTATCTTAATAGCTTTCATTACAAAAAATGAAATCTTCGAAGTTTCAATCTTTTATAATAATATTTAATACTTAGGTATTGATGAAAAAAAATCGATTCCTGATAAATGAAATTTACTGCACAGTAAAAATTACATTTCAATTTTCATTGATTCTTATATAGCTGAAAATGATTTTCTATGGGATAATTCATACTATAGATACATTTTTTGCGTTCTTTAATACTGATTGGATGACAAAATGAATAGGGACAAATCTTTATCATATTTGGGATATTTATACTATCTAGAAAGCTAAATATTTGATTTTTATCGAAAGAATGTTGGTTTACTCAAGTTTTATAGTTATACTTCATAAAGTGTCCTACCAAAATCCTAAAAAATAAAGTTTTCACTTTGAAGTAACACAAACAAATGCATCTCTTTGATCCAAGGCCCAAAAAAATACTACCGAAGCACTTTTAGGCGTTAGAAATCATAAATTTCGGATTATTACCGCCTAAAAATACGTTTACTTAGCATTTCACATCTCCCGTGCCCATGCACTTACTATTCACAATACTAACCTCCTAAAATTCCCATCTCATAGATGGGAATGTGAGCAACTTCGGCCCATCACGACTTACCACTTAAGTCTTAAATATTTGTGGAATGAAGATGTGGCGTATCCAAACATACATACGTATAAATAATAACCCAGCATTTAAATGCCTCCCAATGGCAGATTTATGTAAAAAATCCATATTACAGTAATAATTTAATTTAAGTGCAGTCATGCAGATTTACTTAAATTCTCAAAATACTGGATTTTCAACAGATTCCAGTCCCCCTCAAAGGAAAGCAACGGCAATTTCCTTCGTCATTTCGTTTAAGCCTCTCCCCAAGTTCGATATAAGTGAAACGCATTAAGCGGTAGTGCGCAATGGCAAGCGTCGAGGTGTACTCGTATCTCGCTCTGGTGCCGGTCGTTTGGTTTTATTTTAGTGGCTTTGGGACACGTTTTTGTCGTTTTCAAGCGCCGCTAGGCAAGGCGGGAGTGTTTGGGACACTAATGGCACTTTCTAAGTAGGTAGGTAGGTGCAGGTCCTGGTCCAGGTGTAGTGTAGGTTTCTGGAGTGCGAAGGATTATCGTTGTATCTGCAGCTTGACTTTAGTCAGCGAACTCACGCACTCGAGTGTTTTCTAATTTGGAAGATGTAAGACCTGCAAGATGTACTCGTTTAAGCAAAGGTGAAGGTGATTTGGTGCAGGCTAGGCGATGTTGAGACTTGAGACATTGGGAGGACTTACGAGGCGTAGAATTTGAAGATGTGGCTGAAGTTGTGCAAATAAAGCGTTGGAATTGTTATTACCAACTGTTCAGGAATATTTCGGAAATAATTGGAGTTTTGTAGTGATACTTAGTTGAACAACGTGCTAAAATTAAAAAATTAAATGTTATTGAAAGCATAAATAATAATTACAAGAATTTAAAGCTTATTTGATTAAATAAAACACAATAACTTAACTTTACTGTCAAGATACAGTAGAATCCGTTTATTATGACTCCGCTTATATTGACCAACCGGTTATTATGACGTAACTACACTACCAAGTTTGGTTTTCATATAAAATTCTCTATAAAAAAG